AGCAATGCTCGTGCCAGACATCCTCCGGAGATAAAGCCATGATGCGGAACGACTCCCACGTGCGGTCGGTCAAGTGTCTCACAGGTCTCAGCGTGAGGAGGACCTCGACATCGGATGGCAGCCCGTCTGTGCGACGTTCCGGGATAATGATCGACTTGGAAAAGGAGATGTTTTTCAGGTGGACCTGAGAGATGACGCCCTGGATATGTCTGTCGATGCTGATTTGACGCACTGCTTCTATGGCCATGGAGATATAGCCCGACGCGGGGAAGATGGCGAAGCCATCGACAACATGATCTCTAAGCCACGGAAGGCTTTCCACGCCAAGAAGGTTGCGCCACGTAGGCTCCTGGTTGGTAGTCCCGGCAACTCGTAAGCCAAGGAGATCGTGTGGTGGGTGCGCCCGGAAGCGATGCTGCTTGCTGAGGCTCGACTCGTAGAGATAGCTGGTCGAATGATCCCAAGGGTATGGGGCAAGGTCATCAACTAAGGTAGCAGACTTTGTCGCAACTCGTGCACTCAATGTCCCTTGCAGCGATACTGGGTATCCAAACTCAAACAGCTTGCCTGCCGTTTCCAGAAGGCTAATAGAGGCATCGCGGCCACGTGCCAGAGTGGGTAGGTAGTTGGATTTGAGGCCAGGCAAATCGAGAGCCTTGATCGTCTGTCTTACAGGGCCCGCCAAGGCACCGTGGGGACCGATCTCGGTGAACAAGGTGAGTGGTGCCGGCTCGATATCCGCAAGCTCTTTGCGACAAAGGAGTTCGAGAGCGTTGCCGAAACGGACCGGGGAAACCAGGTTGTCGACCCAATACTGGGCGTCGAAACCTCCTGTCTTGTGTGCAACGAGGACAGAAGAGTAGAACTTGATGGCAGGGTTTGGGGTGCGCGTCTTGATGTGCGCGATGGACTCGAGATACTCTGCTGCGACCTTCTTCATGTGATGAGAGTGGTACGCCGTGTCCACCTTTAGCTTGCGGTTGAAGATGGATTCCTCATCAAGAATCTGCTTCAGCTCATCGATGGCGGATTCGTCGCCAGAGATAGTGGTGCTGACTGGAGAGTTGACACACGCAACGCAGACGAGCCCCGTCCGGGCCTGTTCAATGTATTTCTTGACATCTTCTTCGCCCAAGCCGACGGCCATCATGGCACCGCCGCCCGAGATGACACGTGCGCATGCCTGCGACATAAAACCGCGCCTGTACGATATCTCGAGCGCAGTTTCATGGTCCAGGGCCTCAGCCGCATAGCCGGCAGCTATCTCGCCACTGCTGTGGCCAAGAACAAGATCAGGAAATACGTGATAGCTCTTGAGAAGGTCCACCAGTGCGATTTGAACCGCCGTGGTAGACGGCTGAGAGATCTCAGCCTGCCCGACCCGCGAGCTGTCCTCGTCCCTGGAAAGCTCTTCGACTAAGCTCCATTCTGCCCCAAGTTGCTTGAGGATCCTCTCCGACCGGAGCATCGACTCTCTGAAGACCGGGTGGTCTCTGGTGAGCTCCAGACCCATGGCATGCCACTGTGCTCCCTGGCCGGTGAAGAGGAACACGGAGCGGAAACTGGTGACGGCCTTGGTGATGCGGGGGTTCTGGCCGAGCAGAGAAACGAGCTCGTCACGGCTGCCCGCCGCCGCACTGAAGCGAAAGTGTAGCTCGGATCGGCGCGTTGAGAGAGTGTAAGCGAGATCGGAGAGCGAGGAAGGATCTCCACGCGAAGATACCCATCCTTGTAGGTTGGACACCATAGCTTTGAGCGAAGCCTCTGACCGAGCTGATAAGACATAAAGCTGAGGGGTGTACGCATCATTGGTTTCTGCTTTGGGCGTGCTTTCTTGGGTTTCTTGGACCCAATTAGTCCCGTTAACTCCGCCAGTCTCCTTGGACTCGTTGGCCTCGGTGGCCCCGTTGATCTTGCTGTCTTCAAGGTCAGGAGAAGCTGTTTCTTGTATCTCAACGTGTCCGTTCGTTTTTTCCTCGTTTCCATTCACACCATTGGCCGTCGCCGAAGCCGGTGTGTCTTCTGGCTGTTCCTTTGGTTTGACGTAAGTAGATGGCGGCGCCTCCAAGATGACATGGGCGTTAGTCCCACCGTAGCCGAAAGAGTTGACTGACACACGCCGGGGGCCAGCCGAGGAGGGAAGGGGAACCGTCTTGGTTGCAATCTTAATCGCGATGATTGTTAGACGTTCGAAAATGAATATGAGTGTGTTAATAATTACATACCTTGATCTTGCGCTCTTCCAGATGCAGCACAGGCTTGGGCTCGATAAAGTCGATGTTAGGCGGAATTGCTCCATGCTTCAATATCAAAATAGCCTTCAGCAGCCCTGCAACACCGCTGGAAGCTTCCAGGTGGCCAATGTTTGACTTGATAGAACCGACATAGAGGCCATCCTCACGTTGGCCTTCGGGGCAGAATACCTCCGCGATGGACGATATCTCTGCGTTATCGCCTGATTCATTTTTAGAAATCGCTCATGGGTTTCCCAGAGAATCGAAAAGAAGAGGAGAAGAAGGGGAAGATAGTGTGAGAGTTTCATACCAGCTTGGGTTCCTGTTCCATGCGCCTCAACATATACTGTATCTGCTGGGTCAAGACCGGCATTCTTGTATACGAGTCGCATAAGATTTGCTTGAGCGATGGGGTTCGGCAGCGTGAGGCCGACCGTTTTGCCGTCCTGGTTCAGGCCAGAGTTCCTAATGATGGCATGTACTTTGTCGCCGTCTTTGACCGCATCATCAAGACGCTTAAGGATTAGAGTGACGACACCCTCGCCTCGTGCGTAGCCAGAGCCACGACTATCAAAGACGTAACATTTACCATCTGGGTTCGTCATGCTAAACTCACATCTCAGCTCATGTGCGTAGTGCAAGTCATAAATCCAATCAGGCGAGTACTTACCCGACGCTGCTCATCGGGATGATCTGGTCAGGGGTGAGGACCAGCTGGGTTCCGGCAACGATGGCCATCTTTGATTCCCTCGCTCGTAGTCCATGACATGCCTGGTGCAAGGCCACCATGCTACCTGAACATCCAGTGTCAACTGTGCTGGATGGGCCGTGAAGATCAAAGACGTATGATATCCTGTTGGAAAGAATTGCGATTCCAGTGCCGATCATATGGGCCTTGGGTGTCCTTGCAGTGTCCTTGTAACCCATACGTTCGAAGCTAAAAGTATGTGTCAGCCTGAGTGTTCCATCGTAAGGGCGGTGGAGGGGAGAGATTGGGGGAGATAGTGCATGAGGAATCGGCATCACTAACTCTGTAGCGTAAGCTCCGACGTGGACAGAGGTGTCGGAACCTTTGATTCCAGCAATCGTCTGCCCGGCATTCTCAAGGGCCTCGTATGTCGTCTCTAGCAGGATGCGCTGTTGTGGGTCGAGACAATGGGCTTCATGAGGATGGATGTTGAAAAAGCGAGCATCGAAAGCGGCGATGTCCTGATCAAGGAAGTATAGACCCTTGAAGTTGACGGCCTCCTTGGCCTCGGGATCAGGATGATAGAATGAGTCCTTGTTCCAACGGTCTGCAGGAATTTCACGCCAGCCACTGCGTCCCTCTGAAAGCATGTCCCAGAGTTTGTCTGGGTTGTCTGAACCACCGGGCAGACGACATCCCATGCCGATGACGGCAATGGGAATTGGAACTTCATCAGTCATGTTTTCAACCAGATACGAAACAATTCTAAAAAGAATATTTCGAAGGGAACTGAGGCAAGATAATAATGAGCCAGAATTGTATTGTGAAGTTGGTTGGGTTATGCCAGAGACATTTCTTGAGGCAACTACATTTGGGTAGGCAGCTATTTAACTAATGAAAGCAGCGATATGGTGCAAGGAGTCTCAGCAGTTCACGGTATACGTTATTAGTTGAGATGTCCATTTCCGATCTGAACGGTAGCTCAATTCCCTAAAACATCAAGCAACGCAAGCAAGCGCCGGTCGGAAGGGAGGACACCATTTCCTTACCGGTTGCTTACATTCTACCTTCGTGAAGGAAAGGGCTCATGATTGCACATGTCGGCCCGCAGAGATATTCTTGTTCGCGGAAAACGCACGAAGGATTGTTTAGCGTACATTGAGTTGTGAGGTACGCCTCGCGGGGTTAACTTGAAGACGTTGCCCTGGATCTGAAGGATGCGCTCCCCCCACGGTCGGGACCGCTGAAAAAGATCTTTTGGGGTTGACAAGTCGTTGTCCTGGCAGCCCCTTGGTGTCTTGAAGGATTCATCAAATCCTTCAATGTGATAGCAGACAGCCTACAGCCGTCGTATACTGTCCCGAAGGTTCCGAACCATGTCGAGACCGAGATATTCCTTTGGTGTTTGACCACGAAAGCAACAATTCTGGCCCAATGAAGTGACGGATGAACAATATATTTTCCGTGTCTGTGTAAGCAACCCCGACATGGCACGGCGTTCGTGAGGCGTTCGTGAGACGTTTGTAAGGCGTTCGTATTGTTGGGATAATAGTGAGCGGCGCGGCTCGCTTATGCATATGCGCCAACTCGCATATTTACACGGCGGCGCAGCAGCCAAGGGAGGCAAGCTTTCCAGAAGGGAGGTAACCCTTTCGGAAAGACGATCCGTTGATTCCTTGGCTTAACCCCATGGGGATGCTTCCATTTAGCCAAATACCCCGCGCCACCCGCGGTGGCTGAAGCAATGTAGTCAAGCGCCCATCCGAAACGGCGACTTGCATACAAGCACTACAGTCTCGGATTGGATGGCCGGAATCAAGGGGAACCCAGCCGGTTTCTCTGACTTGACATCGGCCCAATAAGGGTATTCAACAAAGCAACACGCAGAGGAGCGCAGAAAGTCTGGGCCCCAATCTCCCAGTTCACTGGAACCGCTCGTTTCTTTTTCTTCCAAGTGCTTGGGCTCTTGAATTGGTGATGGCTTTAAATACAGGCAGTCAAGAAATATTCTCCCTTCACTCCAGTTAACCAGCTATCACCATCGAAAAACGTCGCGTTTCCGTCAAACCTGGCCCATCATGTCAGCTCCCGAAGGTTACATTCCAGGGTTCGTCTGCACCCTGGACACATGCTCCGTGAAAGAATGGGGCTTCGTTCACTATAGGCCGACTATTGCCGGAAACGCCCTGTTTCTGGCCATCATGGCTGTCATCGCAGTCTACCAGATCTATCTTGGCATAAGACTCAAAACGAAGAGCTTTATGATTGCCATTTGCCTTGGCCTGCTAACGGAGATCGCCGGATACGTCGCCCGGGTGCTCTTGAATGGAAACCCCTTCAGCAGAGACTATTTCCTGTGGTACCTCATCACTCTGACCATCGGCCCGGTGTTCATCGCGGCCGCTATCTATCTGACTCTCGGAAGAATCGTCGTGGTTCATGGAGCGTTCATTAGTCGAATCAAGCCTCGGACATATACGACATTTTTCTTGGGATGCGATATTGTCAGTCTTGTTGTCCAGGCTGTCGGCGGAGGCATCGCTGCATCGACGCCTTTGGACAACCCACACATGGTAATTATTACACACTTTTGTCATCCGATGCCCTAACATCACTACTTCCAAGAGGTTATGCTGACGATTTGTTATTCGTAGATCGATGTGGGGACAAATATTCTCGTCGCAGGCCTGTCGATTCAAGTCGCTAGTCTGTTTGCATTCTCGGCCTGCAGTCTCGAGTTTCTATGGCGCGTGAGAAAGAACCCGGAGATGAGGAACCCCGAATTTGCCGACTTGGTCAGCAGCAAACGGTTCAATATGTTCTTGATTGGTATGCAACAGAATCCTAATGCAGCATTATTCGTCATCGATGTCTAACGATTGGGACAGCACTGTTTGGCGCAACGGCTTGTTTGTTTGTACGAACCGTCTTCCGATCCGTCGAGCTCAGTGAGGGTTTCAGCGGGGAGTTGGCCAACCAAGAAGTTGAATTCATGGTCCTGGACGGGGTCATGATTATACTCGCATGTCTCTGCTTGAGCATCTGGCATCCAGGACATGGCTTCGGGGGCCGGTGGAACGAAGCGAAATTCCGATTCCGTAACTCCAAGAATAAAGTCGATCAGGAGGAGGTTGCAGAGGCAGTCGCCCCTCGCAGACATGAGAAGGGAGAACTGGAGACGTCTGCAGAGAGACTATGATGAGGAGGCTTCATAACTTTCCATCTTACATAGGACAAGGGGAAATAGTGAGGGATTCGATGGGTTCTGCCACCGCAAAGGATGGCTAGTTGGAATATACAGTTAAAGGGACAGCTGCAACCAATATTGTTCTTCAATACGTAAACCTTCTATAGTGTCGAAGTTTTGGTCGTTAAGTTCACCTGGTCGCAAGCCAGTTGGAGCTGGACTACATTTTCGTTGTACAGTTCAACATATTTCTTCGAACTGCTCTGGTGGATTTAAACCTAGATGATATACTATTGCAAATAGCATTTTGCGTGCTTGAGGATGTCTCTGGATCTTTCTCGGTCAAGTAAACTAGGAGCTGAAGGTTTGCAGAGGCTCGTGCATGTGTTGATGTAATAGGCATTGCATAGCTTCATCTCCATATTCATTCTCCTAATTTTTCATCTACCTCGCCGTGGCTCTACTTGAGCTGAACATGAACAGGCGTGCCCTCAGAGGCACACTTGTAGATTGCCGATACGACAGCAAAGTTGAACTCGAGCCTGCTCCTGGAGAGAGCCACACTGTTACGACCTTCGACCAAGTCGACAAAAGAGAGCAAAGGACGTTGGTTCGCGTCTTCCCACCCAAAAGCAGGGAACTTCTCCTCCTTGTTCTGGACCTTTCCATTGACGTCCACAGAGTGTACGAGCCCAAAGCCTTCCTCCAACTCGTCGACTTCGTCCTTGTAATCAAAAGTCGGGACCCATTCCCACGTCAGGCCTCCAGCCGTGCCATCGACGTTCAGCGCAACCTGGGCGTCCCCGTGGAAGCCGCTTGCCCGTTCCCAGTCAAATGGAACGACCGCACCGTCCTGGAGCGTCAACGTCAACGAAGCGCCAGCGTGCGTCTCGACAGATATCGCGGGATCGGACGGGTTGGCACCGGTTTTCGGCGTGGCCATCCAGGCATGGTTGACCGTCACAGCGACGGGGCGAAGGACGTCGAAGAACATGGTGAAGTCGTAAACGCCCCAGTCGAAGATGATACCTCCACCGGATTTCTTCTTTTCCAGGAACCACCTGCTGGCAGGCTGGTACTCGATCCCAGCGCGGGATCGAGGCTGTCGATTGATGAAGCGGGCATGATAAACAGAGCCAATGCCACCCGTTTCAATCAACTGACGGGCGCGGTCCAAGGCCCCATTTCCCAAATAGCGGAAGCTGCACTCTCCAAAATAGCGTCCGGAAGCATCGCTGGCAGCCAGCATCTCGGCCATTTCCGTTGCGGATGTTGCGAGAGGCTTTTCGCAGAGGACATGACGGTTGGACCGAAAAGCGAGGAGCGTCGCTGCATGGTGCAAGTAAGGAGGCACAGCTACCACGACAATGTCGCGTTCTTGTCCTGGGGAGCTGGCAAGCATGACCTCTGCATCTTCATAGACGGTGGCATTGGGGAACTTGGCTAGCAATGCTTGTCGAGCATCTTCCGAGGGGTCGGCGGCAAACAACTGGGCATCAGGTCCCAGGCTTTCCGCCGCAACACCATGTCGCCACGCAATAGACCCAGCGCCGTACAGATAGACGCGCCACGGCACAGTTGTTGCGTTGACACCAGACATCGTAAAGAAACAGTATGTGTATTGGCGACAGAGTTGTTTGTCAGAGTGGACAGTAACGTAAAGTTAGTTTCCATTCAGTCATCTTGTTCAAGGGCGAGAGTCGACGGTGGGAATACAAGTTGAATTGTAGCGTACTCTCAACTGATCTTCCTCGCTAAATTGCCAGGATTCATCAAATCTGACCATTCGTATTCCTTCACAACCTTCCCCGCATTCCGGGCGTTACGCCGCCGCCCGCAAGGTCCGGCGATGACGGGCCGCCTGGCTCATGGAGTCGGCGATCAGAATTCCCTTGAGATGGCGACTGGAACCGGGTATTGTGAGTTCCACGACCAATTCGAGACATACGTTGCGATTGGTGGATGTTACTGATCGACCAGATGCAGAATGCACTTCATGCCAGATACAACAGACGGAATTGGGGTATAAGCCACGATAATGCAGCTTTCATTGCGCGTAGACTGTCAGAATCTTACAGGTATAAGCTTATGCAGGGCTCACTCATCCAAGTCTGTTTTCTGACAGCCTTGGACGGCCCGTTCGGCCGTGGTGTCACACCTGGACTTCGCTTGCTTTGATCCTTCGGATAAGTACGGTTGCTCGGCTCAATCCTTCGAGGTCGGGGGCGAGGGTCCAGGTTTCAGACCGATATCGAATGATCTAGGCCCAGGGCCAGAGGTGTTCGGCTTCAGTGGTGCAATTGATGTACTCGATGGTTGAAGAAGTTACTTATATGCTGTCAATACTGGGAGATCATCAAGACTTATTAGTTCCAAACTTGATCAGACTATTTGAAACAAAGATTTGATTCGATTAACTACCTGTCCGTCAATATGGGTGAGCTATCAAACAATAGTGAGCTGAGAAAGGTCCTCAAAGTCGGTATCATTGGCTTGGGAGAGGTTGCTCAGGTTTGTTTCGGTTCTCATGTCGTCTCACTCCTTGGAAGACAATATTGATAATTTCTCATCACAGGTGTCTCACATTCTAGTGCTGAACAATTTGTCCAGCTACTATGAAATCACTTACATTTGTGATGTGTCCCAGCAAGCTCTTGATCACTGTGTCAAGAAAGTTGCCGGTGGGACGCCCAAGACGACGTCGAGCCCCGAAGAGTTAATTTCCTCTCCTGACACCGACGTCATCGTAATCTGCAACGTAAACGCTTTCCACCCTGCACAGACGATCCTGGCTCTCCAGCACAACAAATATGTGTTTGTGGAGAAGCCGCTCGCGTTGAACTACCACGACCTGGATGCTATCATCGCTGCAGAGAAGACTTCGGAGGCGAAAGTCTTCGTCGGATACCAGAGACGATACGCTGAAGCCTTTGTAGACGCCTTGAAAGAGGTTGGAGGAATGAGCAAAATCGACTATATACGAGTCCGAGGTATGTGTGAAGATGGCATTCAAATTTCAAGGAAAAGTACCTGACAGTGGGGAAGATATCATTGGGCAAAACCGGTCTTTCGTGGGCCAGTCCGGCACATACCCAGTAAAGTACGCCGACTATTCCGTGGAAGAGGCTGCAGACATGCATTCGACCGAAGAAGAAATGGTAAAGGCAGCACTCGTTGATGAAATGGGAGTCACGGCAACACCAGAGTCGATGACAATGTTCAGGTTGTTCACTGGGTAAGTTGCGCCGCCGACCCACTTCCAAGTATGATCATCACTGGCTTCTAACACTCATCTCAAAGACTTGGTGTGCATGATTTCTCGGCTCTGCGCGAGATGGTCGGTATGCCCTCACGTGTTGTTGGTGCATCCCTCGGCTTGCCAATCTGGAATGTCCTATTCCAGTACCAGGACTTTCCCGTCATGTACGAGTCGGGCATCATTGATGTGCCCAGGTTCGACGCTCACCTCGAGATTTACTCTCGAGAGAAGATTGTGCGCGTCGACTACGATACGCCGTACGTCAAGGGTCTTCCTGTCACTATGACAATCAGAGAGAGGATCGAGAGTGCTAGAGGCGATGGCTACCAAGAGCGCACGATCAGGAAGACCTACGAGGACCCTTTCACTCTTGAGTTTTTGGAATTTCATTCTTGTGCAACGAAAAAGACAAGTCCGAAAACTTCGGCCATGGATTCCCGGGAAGACTTGGACTTGATAAAGATGATCATGCAGAGTGCCTATAACTGATATGGCCTTCATTGTGTAGCCTTCGAATCTATCCAATTGAAGGTTGAATAAAAAGACAAATTTGACTGGAGTTTTTCGAATGGTTGAAAGGTGATGAATCTAGTATATTTTCGAAGGATGGAAATTGTCAAGAATATTAGTTATCTCAGGTCTTGGGTCCGACACGCCGGCAAAAATATAATCGGTACCTAGTTCGAATCAGTGAGGCCAATGGATAGCCACGCACACGTAGTATTGGCCAAGTAATTTATAGTTGCAATCAATCTAATTCTTTGACGACCAGTAAGATTTGGCCCTAGTAAGCACGCGCTTAAGGATGTAGTAACGGTAGGTTCAATAAATCCACAATCCGATGATAGGATTTTATACCACGGGCCAATCCATAACGGCCCTTTCTATGTCTTACACATAGTCTACCTTGACGTTCGCCGGTCTAAGTTGACTATATGTAGCTGCGGTTTATACTTTCGGAATAGCTATTTCGAAAGGCCAAGTAAGGGGTTGATGTTGACGCGAACCTTGAAAGTCACCAGGCATACGAATACCTAAATGAAACGACTTAGACGCAATAATGTGTCGCATGCAATAGGACAAACAGAAAGCTGCTATTGTATCTAGCCCATCAACAGTAACGTAACAATATCTATATACACTTTCTATGGCTCCTGGTTATGCTAGAGGTACCAGTCTCTCAAAGCATTGCTGGGCACTGTTACACGTGTCGGGACTTTCCTCCTGTCTAAAGTGAGATGCACCAGACAGCTTTCAGAGAGAAAGAAGAGCGACTTTCACCGCCAAAAGCGACACAGCCTTATGGCTCTAGTGTGATGCTCGGCCTACTGTTGGATGGCGTAGAGGCCACTGTGTGGGAGCGGACGTGCACGTTCGCATGAAGTAAGTGTTGCCCTCAGTCTCCAGGTTATTATGGGAACCAATGGCAAGTCGGAGATGGTTTTCCGGAACAGCAAACCTAATAAGGGCGGGGAAATACCTATTACGACTGCATGGACTAGATCATAAATAATGGAAGTCGTTCTGCCAATTCTCCTCATCGTTACACTACGGTATTGATTGGATCTCTGTCGAAATCACATTTACGCACGAACATGGACACGCACAAGGCCGCAGTTTTGACAGTGAGTTGGTATCCGTATGTTGATTTCGTATGATGAATGACGAACATCCGTTTCTGTAGTCACCCCAGAGAACGGACGAAATCCCCACGTTCTCAGTGCGCGACGAACCGCGTCCTGTTCCGGGCGCCAACGAAGTCCTCGTACGCCTTTCCGCTACAGGGCTTTGCGGATCCGACTTGGGAATGGCGATGGGCCATTTCGGGCCGGTTGGAAATATCCTTGGACACGAGGGCGTTGGCCGCATCGCAGCATTGGGTTCCAACGTCGCCGCTCTCGATCAATCGGTCCAGGTTGGACAGCGAGTCGGGGTGGCTTGGACTCGCGATATCTGCAGCACATGCGAGACCTGCGTCGATCTCGTCAACGAGGGCGAAACACGATGTGAAAAATCACTCCACTCTGGCAAAGCTTACGACGGGACATTCGCCCAGTACACACTCGTTCCTCTCCGTTACTTAGCCCGGCTTCCGTCGCAGTTTGATGGGTTGCCCGACGAAGAGATTGCTCCGATCTTGTGTGGTGGCGTAACCGCATACAAGGCCATCAAGGGGTGCAACGTCACCCCAGGTCAATGGTTTGCTGTCTCAGGAGCGGGTGGCGGTGTCGGATCCCTGGCGGTAGCTTACGCCCACGCCATGGGCTATCGTGTGATTGCTGTTGACGCCGGCCCTGAAAAGGGCGAGATTTGCAAAGCCCAGGGAGCTGAACATTACATCGATGTCGCTACATCAGGCACTTTGGGTGAGAAAATAAGGCAAGCGACGGGAGGATATGGTGCAAAGGCGGTGGTTGTCACGGCTACGGCAACAGCCGCATATCAGGAGGCATACGAATTACTGGCTCCCTTTGGTACGCTGATGTGCGTGGGTATCCTGTCAGCTGAGGCTAGGGTCACATTCAACCCTCTCTGGCTCATCGCCAAGGGATGGAAGATACTGAGCTCATCTGTTGGGACCCGAGCGGATGTACTTGAGGCGTTGGAGTTCGTGAGGCGCCGTGCTGTAGTACCAAAAGTGCAAGTGGGAAGGCTTGAAGACATTCAGGACCTGGTTCAGGCCATGTACGCAGGTCAGGTAAGCTATTGTAACCTTTCCAAAAAAGTCAATCTTTCACTAATATCGACTTGACAGCTTAAAGGTAAGTGGGTTCTAAAGCTGGATTAGAGGTGGACCGAGAAGCGGCAATAACCAATTCAGAAATATTATACACAGAGCCATTGGACGGGAAGAGAACACAAGTAGCGATGAACCGACCCACCTTCAAACAAAAATGGCCGCAGTACGGATATCCCGCCGCTAAATCCCTTATAATCCTATATAATTCTGAATCTACCTTACACTTCTGTTACCAACACCCCACTATCCTTAAGTCTATAAGTCTATATACAAACCCTACCCAAAAGCTATAGAAACAAGCTTGCAAATGGGGCTTGCTAGGTAAAGTTTAGGTAAGTAATGGAAATATGGTCGGGATTAACCTGTTAGTAAGGGCAGCGGATCAATTTTAGCGGGAGAGGGCAACGGCGTATCGCAAAAAAAAAGAAAAAAGAAAGAAAAGAAAAAAAGAAAAAGAAAAGACAGATAGAGAGAACTAAAAGAGGCAAAACTAGTTTGCCTGTCAAAGTACAAAAGGTACCTAGGTCACCGTTGTCCTCTGTAACTTGACGGGCTGCTTTAGTATTATCCTTTGCAACTTGGCATAACCTTGTGAAACGACATTGTCGAACCCATCTGTAACCTGCAGGCTGCACCATACGCCGTACTCGAAATCCTACCTTGTGGGGAACCATTTGCACGACAAAACTCAAAACTTTAGCGCGAGCTGGGACTTCCCTGAGACTGGTACACAAGCGCGCTAGCTCGAGTCTAAGTCAGGAGAATCCTAGGACAGCCTAGTTCACGCATCTAGAAGCCATCAAAGTATTATATATCCAAGACTCTCTCATATTGGCATTGAATTCAAAGATATTATCGCCTTGACTCTCGCTGATTAGGCCGCCGATCAATTGCTCGAGACCAATGTTCAATGATGAGCGAATGTCTCGTATGTCATTCTGTCTGATACGGCAATCCTCATGTGTCACGTGTGAATATACCCGGACTCAGCATAGAAAGCTTTTATGCAGACACGCGAGCGAGAGAGAGCATGATCAATACATAGCCAGGGCCCGGCATTCTGATTATCCTGTGTGATGCCACGTTCGCCATGATCATGAACAAGGAGGCGTATACGATTGATCTTCAACACTGTAACACGCATCAACAATACGCATAGTGAGAGTGAGGCCTTGTGAAGCAGGTCTTAGCCAGATGTGGAAGTTCAACCCTCACTTCAGGGGGCGGGCTGTGACGGAAACCAGGCCGCAACTTTCCCAGGCCAAAGGCTCCGATGTTGGTTGTTCCAGCAGCGATAATGCTGGACGAGTCGCTTGTTTCGGTTCGGCAGTCGGGTGATATCCCATACTCGGGCGACTCATGAACTATGCGGGATCTTCAGCGCAGCCTGCCGGGCCTGTCACACGACGGTGCTTTGTGCTTTTCCCCGCGAAGTTCTCGCCCCTCTGCTGATTGCTGCTTCCTTGCGATTCTTAATCGCGGTCCAGGGCGATATGGTGTCTTCATAACGGACAAAACGACCTTTCGAGGTTTCACCCCCGATTGTGCGCACGAGCTCAATAGTGGGATCTGCCGACAATTCAGATGGTGCAGTTTTTCTTCTTCTTTCTTCTTTTTTCTTCTTCTTTTGTTTCTCTCCGAACCGACCGAGGTATGGTTACATTAGCATGATGCCGACTAGATTAGGAGCATTTAGTAATGAATGCCAACCGTCTTTGGCACTCTTGTCGACAGGGCACGGGCCTGTCGGCCGGACTCGGGCTTGGTTCGAATGCCGCGCGGCTGACTATAGTGGATGAAAATAATAGCATCATCGTTGCAGCAGGGCGAGTCTAGCAAGGCGCCGAAGTGACATGTAGGACCGGGGACCTGCTTATCGATGCGGAGGAAAGGATACCTAGGTAATGAACTCGGCTAGTGGAAGAGCGCATGAGCGGGACCCGGGACTCTTGCTTTCTATTCGTTGACGACGGTGGAACGAACGACTGCTTGCATGGATAGCCAGTGTTAGGTATGGACATGGTTGGAGGTCGTGCGTTCTCCGATGGTGCTTCGCACCATCGGCGCCCATTGAGACGCTGATCCACGTGCAATCCACCAGAGGCTCTTCTTTGTTCAGGTTCAGAGTATGGCTTTGACAAAAGTGTCCGAGTGTAGACTCCATAGGTGGACTCTCCGATGCGAGTTACTGCTTTTCGCCTTCTGGATCTAGCCTTGATCAGCAACCTTATCCTGTGTTTGTATACAACCAAGAGGATTCTTATCGACATTCAGGGGTTGAGCCGTTGGTCACCACGCCGTCAAAGTAGTATCTCTCCACATGCTCTGCATATTTGGGTTTCTTCAGCCACATCAGGCAAGCCTTGGCGCGGCACGACATATGTTTACGGCATGTCGCCGCCGGCCAACCTTGCAGTGTAATGATGACAAAGTACTCGGTATACGATCTAGACTCATCGAGGCCCCGAGCTCAGCTTTCGCCAAGTGACCCATTGCGGATGGTTCGGCGGGGGCACGCTATGTCTTCACGGCACGCCACCGTCGTCCGCCGGCCTTGAAGTGCAACAATCGTCGACTAGGTATGTGACCCATCGCGGGTGGTATGGCCGCATGCCCGGTGCCAAAGCATCCGAAGAGTCTCAAAACTTAAGCAGCCCTTGTGAAGCGAGGGGATCCTGTCCAACGCGAGGGTCCCGAAGCTTGCTAAGTTAACGGCAGACGCGCGCCCCGGACATCGGACGACAGTTCAGTCGGCACTGGGATACGCTTCCAAGGCGGTCCCGCCTTAAGGTGTCACAGGCACACAATGATTCTCGAACAGGGCCAATTCAGTCGACACCCTCACATTTCTGTGCATGTCTGCTCGGCTACGTCGGACTGCGTCTGCTACCGATCCTGAAATCTGACACACATCCCACGTGCAACACAGCCATGTCCACGGGCCTTGGGCAACACGGTGGGGTAAAATGCCGGGGACCGCCTTGTTGCAAAACGCCAAGTGTTAACGCACGAGACCCTGTCTTAACACGCATGGGATTTCATTCCTGGCCACCCTCTCTCTCACTTCCTCTTTCTTCCCTCTCTCCTTATTCTCTTCTCGAAGGAGGGCTGTTCCGTGTCGAGGCTCGACACCTTGAGTGGCATCTCTCAAATCTCCAATGCGTGCTTGCTATCTGCCTCGGTTGGTATCCTATCCGGAAAGTTGGCTATTGCACCTCTTTTAAGCCAATGTCAGTCATGGGCATTTGTCATCTTGGAGAGGCATTTTTTTGGGGGCCACCATTGCAATATAATTTCACTCTATTATCTAGTTTGTCCAGGTTCCGATGGCATCGCGGACGCCAATCGCGCAGTACCTAAATAGAATCCACAAGGTAGGGAGACCCACGTTCTTCAAGGGCTTAAGAACCCCATGACTCGCACACCATCCCTGTGACGCCATCCATGTTACGGACGCCAATACGGGGTAATACTGGTCAGTTCATGTTCTGGGGGCCGAGTGGGCAGCTTTGGTACTTCGTACGAACTCTGGTACAAGATGTGGCCCATTTCCCCCTCGACCACGAGGGTGCCGCGTGATACCAACCAACATCACTGGCGTGCGGGTTCACACAATGGTTTTCGATGCGGCAGTCGCAGCGGTCACCCTAACGGGTAGTGTTCTGTCATTCCTAGCAACGTCAGGTGTCTTGATATCTTTCATTCTCTACCATGACCAACAACGATCCTTCCGTCATGCCCTCGTTTTAAACCTAACGTTGGCTGGTAAGCCTCTCCTCGATGTCTTTGGTGTGAACATCGAGCTAACAGCCGCCGAAAGAGTTCATAAACTCTCTTGACAATAGCATATCCGGCATCATATACATAAAGAACAAAGAACTACTGCCCGGAACAGCATGTGTACTGAACGGCATGGTCGGCCAGCTCTCAGTGCAGGCATCTGATTTCTCCATACTCGCCATCGCCGTGGTTACCTTCCTCACAATTACTCGAAAGACATATATGCCGGACTCCTCAATCGTGAAAAAGGTCATCATCTGCCTCTCGATTTGGATTGTTCCCATTGCCACAAGTGTAGCAGCGACCGTAATGGGCACTATACAGCCCGTCAGTGGGAACTGGTGCTGGATAACACAAGACCGAACCGACCTTCGATACGGATTAGCTCACGGCTGGCGTTTCGCAATAATCTTTACCACGATATTTATCTACATGTACGTTTGGTGGTTCCTCGGTCGACACTTCCGCTCCATGGTCACTACATCCGACGGGCTATACGAAAGCGGCAACTCGACCGGCCTCGTTGCATCCGTAATCCACAAGAAGAATGGTTTCGAGGTTATGCATGGGCAAGATTTGGAGATGGACGAGTTTGAACGACTGAAACCGCTCGTCAGTGAACCGCCGCTTACTCCGCGGACCCCGTCGATTCCACATCCTACAGCTCAAGCATTCAGAAAACCAAGTCTTGTCGGCAACCAAGACGATAAGGCGGGACAACTCGCCAGGCCATCAGTGTCATCTGTATCGACGCACTTGCTCGACGACAAAACGGATGAAGAGCCGAAACGAAAGATGTCATCAAGAATCTCGCGTTTCGATGACGACGACCTGGATATGACCCAAGCCTCCGAGGCCAGGTTCTCGTATTTGGAGCAGGAGGACAAACTGAACCGAAGTGCTGCCGGCGGGCCATCTCATCTCCATCAAGACATGCCGCCTCCCGTGGCAACACGATTTTCTCGCTACGGCAAGAGCTCATTCAGTTTCGGCTCCAGCAACAAGATCAACACAAGCAGAGACTCTACTGTATTGTGGAATCTACCGGCCCCTCAAGATCTTCGCTCGCGGGATTTCCCTGTGAGCCCCGGCCTCCAAAATGTACAGAACAAGCCCGCTCATCCGAACGTGACCGCCACAATGATGAGCGACTTTCCCGTCCGGAGACAAACAAGAAAGATCGAGCGCGAAATCAAGCGCATGATGTGGCTCAACGCGTACCCGATCATGTACGTGGTGCTCTGGATCCCCGGCCTCGTCAACAGGTTGATGGAGGCGTCGGGAAACAGCTCGCAAAGCAGAGTTCTGCAAGCGTTGCAAAGCTCAAGTCAGTACATTGGCTTCGCAAACGCCATCACCTATGGCTTCAACCAGCACCTGCGACATAGGATAAAGGGTGATCTATTCAGATGGTTACGCGGGAAATAACGGCCGCGTAAGCCAGCTGCGCGGGATGAGTAATGAATGGGATGAGATAATAAAACATAGAATACCCTATTGTTTAGTCAATATCGAAGATTGGATATTTTGGCCGCATGTCGAGCTTTTCACGACCAGACGAATGCATTATGATAATGGCCACTGTCTTTCAGAGCACGATCGACCGATCAGAAGCTGATGCCAAGCTTTGTGGTGACTTTTGAAGATTGGTTGCCAAATCTAGAAATCAAGCATTCGGCAGGCCAGATGTAGATAACCTTGACATGTTCCTTTGCTTGGTCGCATGCTGCCAGCATCCATCATCTCTGCCGGTTCTTGCCTCGCACGAACCTTCCAGGAGGTAGGAGATTCGATTGCTGCTCGCTTCAGGGTCCCTAAAAGCCTCTATGAAGTATCCCTTCTCTTCGTTTGGGATCAAGCCGAGCTTGTCGATGACCTCTTGCGTCGTGCGCTTCTCGACTGGGCATGGTTTCTCCTGCGCTGTCGGAGTAGCCTGCGCCATGAAGGCGAAGATGCCGCCTGCTTTGGTATAAGATGAGAAACCCATCCTCCTTCGTCTGTGTTTTCTCCGGGATATTCAGGACTAATTATCGATAGACGACTTATTATATGGGATGCTGTCAGCTTTGGGCATAAGCACTAGGTTGATCAGGTGACGAGAGAGACTGGCCGGCTTCTTTCTGTCCTCAGGTTGGGAGATCCGTCAGCAAAATCGACAATTCAATCGAATTCTGTCTCGATGTAGCAACATACACCAAGCCGGTTCAGTTCTAACCGATGCGGAGGAGCGTAACAGCAGGGCTCCAAGTTGGTATACAGTCAGACCAGACTCATGTGTAGTTCTTGACAGCCCAAATTCATGCCTTTTTGGCTTACAGGCATAAAACACCATGGTGCAGTAGCTTTCGGCCTTGAACAGCATTACCGCTGGGTTTGCTGAGTTGCACTGAATGTTATCTTGACTGCATACTTCAAGAAGAAGACTTCGGTCAGACCTGGATGTGCAGATAGTTCGTAGAAAGGCGTCATTCAGGTATCCAGGGTTGAGATATCCGTCGGGTATCTGAGATATGATCTATCAAACTCTTGCAGTCCTCTTTTGATCTGTGGCAATAAGTTTGACCCATAGGGCTCACCTCTTCTGAGCCGGGCAATGAGTACACGTCGACTACATCTGGCGTCCAGGTCGTTTGAGACAATCTCAGTTACAGCAGGGCATCTATTCGATGGGAAACCAAGGATTATGAGGATGAGTCACCAGTGAATATGAATTTCCGCCATATTTGTAGGCATGCGGTATATCCCGTCGAAGGCGACGTTCCCTCATACTCACATACACCTTGTCCAGCTTGGCATTTGATATATTAAACTTGGAAAAGAAAATAGGAAGCCGGACGGAAGATGCAGTTTAAGACTCACAAAGCATGCGGCAATGGATCCATGGTAGTACTTGAACATGTCAGTCAGTATTCAAAGCTTTGCGGGGAACCGGATAGATACGTCACACGATAATCAACTGATGCGCCACCTCCTTCTGGTGTCACGCTCATCAGCGTTGTTCGCTGATTACTGCTAGGAAGAGCAGCATGAGCCTCCATCTGAGCGTAGCCATACAATACTACAAGAGTGATAGAGTAAGGCCTGTGATCACTGCACAGATGATTCGAGTTCTCTGGCTTAGCGTGCGTCTTGACATGGAGTTGGTGATGCGTAAGCGATGCCATGGTTGCCACCAAACAGCTCGCCAGCTTCTTATTCTGCAGAGCCCCGTTGGCATTCGGATTGATCCTATCTTTGCCGCTCGCGTCGGTTGCTTGCCCATATTCTTGTCCACAAATCGAGACGATAAGTGAAATCCTCCATGTCCCTATCTTCCCTACGCGAAAGTGCACGTTCGTTGTGTTCTGCTGTCTCTTAGACGCAGTCATGAAACGATGTCACAACGCGCATCAGCTGAGCCACTGTCAAACTTCGGATGATGGCTTCGTATATAATTGCGCGTTACTGGAGAAAAGTCGTTGAGTGCTACGCGCTGAATCTGCAATACGCTTCATAGTGCTTCGACATAAAAAATGGCAGCCGAAGTTGTAGCCAGATTTTGCATGCTCGCGGTCTCTGTAACGGGGCTTTCAGACCAGTTCCCATCACTGTGTCGGCGGCAGAGCAATAACAAAGCTTCAGGGCCGTTGAGCTTTAGCAACGACGGCACTTTCAAAATATCCATCTTTGAAGACCTTCACTTTGGAGAGAGTAAGAGTGTCGCTTTCTCGGGGCGGTTCCGACCTAGATGGGATTCGATACTGACAATACGTCTCTGTAGATGCCTGGGAGGCATGGGGGCCTGCGGCGGACATCAAGACTGTCAAGGTTATCAAAAAGGTGCTCGACGATGCCAAGCCGGACCTGGTGGTGTTGAACGGCGACCTCATTACCGGCGACAACGCGTACTTGGAAAACGCCACGTTTGTCCTCGACCAGCTTGTCAAACCAATGGTCGACCGCGGCCTCCCCTGGGCCAGCACCTATGGTAACCACGACTACCAACTGAACTTGACAGGAAGCGACATCCTCGCGAGAGAGAAACAATGGCCCAACTCCCGTACGCAAAAGATGGTCTCCGACGGCAACTCGGGCGTCTCCAACTATTACCTCCCGGTCTACCCCTCCGATTGCGTCAAGGACGATTGCACGCCCGAGGTCATTCTCTGGTTCTTCGACAGCAGAGGCGGCTTTCAGTATATGCAGACCAAGCCTGACAGGTCGACGGCGCTGGTTGGACAGCAGAACTGGGTCGACGAGAGCGTGGTCAACTGGTTCAAGTCGAAGAACTCGGACCTCAACAAGCAGCATAACAAGGACATTCCTGGCGTCGCCTTTGTGCACATCCCGCCCAAAGCCTCAAAGGCCATACAATCGCAAGGGATCGACCCGGAGAAGAACCCCGGTATCAACGACGACAGCCCGCTGTCGCACCAGGCCGAGGGCTGGTGCAAAGACGGCAGCCAGAAGGGCAGCTGCGACTACGGCGGCCAAGACGTCGCGTTCATGAAGGCGGTCGCCGAGAGCCCTGGGATGACGGGCGTCTTCAGCGGCCACGACCACGGCAACAGCTGGTGCACCAAGTGGAAAGGCAAGGTCGGGGATGTCGCGATCGACGGCAAGGGCGTGAATCTGTGTTTCGGCCAGCGTACCGGCTACGGCGGGTACGGCACGTGGATTCGCGGTTCGAGGCAGCTCGTCTTGACGCGGGACATGTTGGCCAGGGGCGAGCTCGACACTTCCATCCGATTGGAATCCGGCGACGTTGTGGGCTCGGTGACATTGAACTCTACTTACGGCGATGACAAGTACCCTGTCACCCCCGATGATAGGACTTGACCGCAAGGGCAATGGACGTATGCCGAGTGTCCCCCTTCCGTCTACTCTTGGGCTTGCGACCCTCAAAGATACCTAGTCCCGGATGTCTATGAGATTGGAAATTTAGTGAGAAGATACCCCCCCGCCTGTCTATAGTATCCGATAATTTACGTAATACTTCCTTGTGCACTTTTGGCTTTGATGATTTGCATTGAATGAATGTTTACGGATACAGTTAGCTGTTTGAAAGTTAATATAGTAGAGTGGAACTCTGTAGTACGAAGAACACACATCCTAATCATGTTCTAACAATAGTTCTGCGCCATACCACACGCTATCTTTCCTGATTCGTCATCTCAAGTGAGTCATGCGTTTAGTAGTGGTGCAAGGGGGAAGAGTCACAGTACTTGATTAGATTGCGGTATTCTTTACTATAAGTATATCTATACTCTAGGTACTAGAATAGTATTCATTACATAGTAACAAACACGTCGACTACGCAAAGGAAAGAAATCAGCTTTAGCGATATAGAACACAAACAATGAGTAAGGCAAAAGAAAAGGATAGAAAGGGTGGAAAAAGCATATATATGCAAAAGATTTTGACCAGCCTGGGGGTCGAACCCAGAATCTCCTGATTGCACACAACTTCAGATCTCTAGATGGAGATCCGGGAGTCGTAGTCAGACGCCTTGCCATTGGGCCAACCGGCCGGGTTGGAGAGAGTTCCACGTGTGGAACCGTTATTGAGAAAGCGGGGAGAAATTGACACCCAACATCGCTTCGGTCTTTGCTTTGGTATAGGCGGGATTCATGGAGGGCCTGGGTGGGCCAACCGGCCAGACAATTCACAACACCTTTGCTGTCCGTCAGTACAAGATTGACTGGAACAGGAGGATATGTATCGTGTCTATCCGTATATGCCGATAATGCCTGTCGTTCTCTGTCACAACAAAACACCCCTGAGCTGGCTCGGCTGGGTTCCCCCCTTGTCACCACCAACGCGGTGTCGGTTTGGAGTGCAGAGTTCCAAGACAACAAGTTCCCGTCACCGCCACCCCCTTGCGGCGCCAGTTGGGAAGAGGGGTTCTGTCGTTCGCACCCGCTGATCAGATGAAGAGTATCCGTAGCCTGGGCTGGTACCGAAAAGAGCCTTTCGATACCATTGGCCGACAGCTTCTCAAATAAGCCTCAGCTGTTGGTTGTGCTACCTACATAGGTAGTACAAGATGGGGTTCAACGTGAACCGCTTTTTTTACAACGGTCCACCAACAGTCGGACCGGGCGATGGATCCTGACATTGTTGTACTAGCCAGATGGGTTTCGTAGGGCTCCTTTCCAACGCTATTGGGTCACGATGCCGCTTTCCTGTTCGCCTCATACCGTCAGCGTCGCCAGCGACTGCTACTACTGGTGCGAACTGCCGGCCTACAGCGAGCTTGCTTTGTGTCTGGTCCGGCACGGGATGGAACCTGGGATCGTCGGGCTACACATGGGTAGTGCGGCGGGCCCGATGGCTGGACGGAAGCTGGTGGGACTCGTGGCATGGGCGCCACTCTTTGCGATCGCACTGCACTTATAGGTCGGTTTCGGGGGTGGTGGCGAAAGCAAGGAACCATGCGGGAGAGGGCGGCTTGCACGGAATATTACTCGTCAGGCGACAGACAATACGGCCGCCGCCAGGGGTTGGCGGCTTAGTGTCAAGTTGACTCGAGAAGGTGTAACGTGCCAAAGGGATAGGTCCGTTTACCTACATACACCAAGGCCAAAGGGTTTCATGAGCCGGACTCATACATAGATTACAGATATGGCTCAATAGGGGCGGCCCTGTGGGATGCGAAACAGCCGCTGACGACAACGGGTTATCAACTTTGGAACTACAAAGGCCTCTTGTAGAAAGCCGGTATTGATGGTATGCACACTTGAACACTTCATGTAGGCAACAGACGTCGCAATATTGACTTTTCATTCCGGTTTATGCTTGACCAGGTAGATCCAGACTTGTGTAACAACCGCTAATGCCAACAGACAGTGAAGCATACATACCCCTGCTAGCTGGGTTCAGAAAAGCCCCAATCTCTTCAAAATAAACTCGACTACCCGTCTTCTTGTTTGCCCCGACCTTCCCACCTGTTCCTCCCCCGCACCACACCTATTTGGATTCCCCAAGCCACGAACCCGACAGTTTGGATCGAGCTAAAATCCCGCCGCTCGGGTTCCTCGTTTCTTGCTGATGCTGCTGCGGCTGCTGCTGCTGCTGTTGCTGCGCAGGGGAAGTGATGGACAGCGATGGTACTGAGCGGCCCTGAGAACGAGGCGAACCCGCCAAGGGTTTCCCCGTCTGCCGTGTGCACTCTTGACGGGATATGGCTGACTGTATACAAGATGCAGACTTGGACGCCATGGAATTTGACCATGATTCTGACCGTGACTCGGGGATTGACGAGGTATGCCGCCGGGGATCGGATGTAGCTCCCCTCCCCCGCCGCTGGACTAACAGTTCACCGTCCGTAGGGAACTGGGCAGCCCGACCTGCTCTCGTTAACGCCAAGCATCGTCGATTACCAGTTGGAAAACGGCAGATCATACCATTCCGTGAGCCAAGGCAGTTGAGTCATCCATCCACCGAGTCGCAGTCGTAGCGTGTACGCACCCTACTAACCAGCGAACAGAATACGCTTATCCGAATGACGATGTAGATCCCCCCCCCCCCCCGATTAACCTGTGACGGGCCCCTTGAAACTTGTTAATCTGACAGTTTCTTCCAGCAAGAACTCACGCGCTACGGTACGTGGGGACAGAATCCACGTGCGCGTTCCCCCCTAAGGCAGCTCCGAAGACGCTTACACGGATTAGATCTTCAGCACCACATCTGGCTGTTGACATTAGATGGAGAACTAGGCACAAGTCCCGGGCGACACACGGCAAAGAGGGTGCTTGATTTAGGCACAGGGACTGGTATTTGGGCTATCGACTTTGGTGAGTCCGAAGCCGGTACCGCCCGCGCCCGTTGTTCGAACTAACACGCATCGCATCGCTAGCTGACGCACATCCTAGCGCCGAAGTAAGGGTGTCCTTTTTTTTTTTCGGTGCTTTTTCGGGGGGGGGGGGGGGGGGGGGAAGAGAAAGAAAGAAGGAAATAAACTGACATATCCCAAGGTTATCGGTGTGGACTTGAGTGCTATCCAGCCCGAACTGTGTGTTCTATATCGGATAATTCGCATGCTTCTCTAGCTAACGTGCGTTAACATGCAGATTACCTGCAAATTGCAGTTTCGAGATAGACGACCTTGAGCTCGACTGGGAATGGAACCAACCCTTCGACTATATTTTCTGCCGCTCTGCGGGCGGCGCCTGGTCGAATTTCCGGTCCATCATCAAGAAGGCCTTCGAGTAAGCTGTCAAGCCTGTCTCCTGTTTCTTCCACCCTGGTTCTATCCGCCTGGGTGGCACTTCGCCTGGCGGCATCCTTCAAGTCTGCCGACACGAGTACAGCTGACGCTGGCCACAGCAACCTGGAGCCGGGCGGGTATTTCGAGATCCAAGACCTGGAGCTCCCTTCGGCCTGCGACGACGGCACGGTGCCGCCGACGGCGGCCCTGTGCCGCTGGCAGCACGCGCTCGTGGCCGCTTCCAACGCCATCGGCCGCCCCATCAACTACGCGCCCTTCTGCCTGGACCATCTCCGAGACGTCGGCTTCGTCAACGTCCACCGCCAGATCTTCAAATGGCCGTTCAACAACTGGCCGGAAGACCCGAAGCTGAGGGAGATCGGCCGCTGGAACTGCGCGAACCTGGACATGGGCCTCGAGGGCTTCTCCATGGCGCTGATGACGCGGGTCAACGGGTGGACCCGCGAAGCCGTCGAGGAGTTGTGCGAGGAAGTCAAGCGCGAGGTCAAGGACACGAGATTACACGCCTATTGGAGACAGTGAGTTTTCTTTGGTTTTTCTTTCTTTTTTTTTTCACTTTCTGACTTCTTCGCTTGCATTTTGGGCAAAGCACTAACTCTCATCGTCAGACATGTTATTTACGCAAGAAAACCCGGTGGAGCACCAGCTTGAGTGACCAGAATATTCATCATACCTCCCTTGGAGGATACACATCATGAGTTGATGCAATACCCGTAACGAAACCAAAGGAATGTACATAAGCCGGCCGAGTCCAACCAGCAAAAGTGCCAGTGGTTCTTTCTTATAGACGAAAAGTTTCTCATCGTATCTGTTGCGGCTGGGGTGAATGTGTTCAACATCTTGCCTGCCTACTCGTCAACACCTAACAGCTACACCGGAAGGATCAGATCGCAGTCCCGGCATACCCAGAAGCACGGGACTTGAACACCCATCCTTCAGCAATGTGTTACCGGCCAGCATAGCCGTACGCGTATCAGTTACTTGGCACTTGAAATGCAATATGAAAAAAGCCCTCTGACTCCCCATACTCGACGGTCAGGCGGTCCGTAGTCCTCTTTGTTATTCGACTTTGGTTGGATGCCGAAGCTGTACCCGCACGGCGCCCTTCAAGCGCAGCCGATCACACATGGAGGCCGAGCCGCTCAAGCCGCTGCCCTGAATGCGGTTAAACTCAACTCCAAGCACAAATCCCGTGCGCTCTCTCTCCAGGGGTGCTGGAGCGTGGGCTGGGTAGATTCCCGAGTAAGCGTTCGGCATCGTTGGTGTCGGGGGTAGGGAGGGGAAGGAAGGGAACGGGAGCAGTGAGAAGGGGACTCAAAAGGAGGAGAGCATATATTGATGGGCGAAGACGCGCTGATCTCGAGCGTGAGGCCGACGCCCGTCGTCACCCACGTGGAGAGGGCGCACGGAGGCGGTCTGTGAAAAAGGCCGTTGTAGTACTTCGCCTCGTACCGGAGGCCCTTCTGTTCCATGGAGCTGTCCTTGTAATTGTGCAGCTCCACGTGGAGGTGAATCTTCCTGACGAACTGTGTCCGGCTGCTCGTCACTCATTACTTCCTGAAGAGGACGATGCCATGCCTGGACGACAGCAGCAACGAAGAGAAGTTTTACCTCTCCAAAAGAAAAAAAAAACAAGTCCTATCACACATCCGCTGGGCCAGGCCGGCTTCGCTGCAGCTGCCACAGCGCGGACCCGATCTCGGCGCGGCGCTTTGGCACTCGGAGCAAGACCACATGTTCTAGAACCATCAACCGAATTTCTGTGGGCAGACTTCTCCATCCCATAGTTGAAGGCTTTACTTTCGGCTTCTTGTCAGCCGTCGCTATGATGTTGGGTTGGAGGGGGTCCGGAGACGGGGCTTAGATCGGCATACTACGTGGACGTGGTGGCATTTTCGCCGATGATAGATGCCTTGAGAGGACGAAAACTGTTCTTGGTTTGGGTGAGTATTTCCGCCATCCGAGATCGGATGCGATGGAAAAGATGTGGCTGATGTTGATGTAGGAGTAACTTGTCATGTTCGTCTCTGTTCGGTCTCGCAAGTCTATATATGTATATCCGCTCCCGAGCCGTAAGACCTTTTCCCCAAGATTGGGACGGGTTATGCATGAACCAAGTTCGACGAAGCCTTGGTATGGCGCAGAGGAGGCCAAAAGAGTCGTGAGATATCCACCTTTCAGCTAGGGAAGAAAAACGTATTTTGATGCCTCGTACGGAAATCCACCATACTTCTTATCGTCAATGGCTCGATGTATTGATCTTTCATATCCATGTAGCGCCTAAACCAGAAACACGGTAGTTGTACTATATACAGATAAATGTTTAAAGTGATTAGAGCCTCCGTAAAGATGCGCTGTTCCTTCTCAGTAGTACAAGCACGCTGTCCATCATACATGGTCATCTCACCACGTTCCCAATCCCAAAATACGGACTACTCGTCACGTCCGGCCCACCCTGACCCTGCTCAACATGGCGCCGCGTTTGGCAGACAAGTTCTGGCCGAGTTTTTCCCAGGGCTCGTTGCCGATGTCGTAAGGCTGGAGAGCCGCCATGGACTGGACCTTTTGGGTGACGGCGTCGGTGCTGAAGGCGGTGGCCGTGACGGGCACGGCTCTCCACCTTTCATCCATCGGGTCGGCGAACGAGGTCTCGTTGTAGCCAAAGTCGGCCAGCGACGACACGTTGAAGGCGGCCATCATCTCGTGGTCTTCGTGGATCATGTTGTGGCAGTGGAACATGTAGACGCCATCCCACGGGGCGTAGTGGGCCTCGACGCGGACGACCTCGCCGGGGCCGAGCCAGACGACGTCCTTGAGGCCGGCGGCCTCGTACGGGAGGACGGTGTTCCTCGCCCCGGTGCGGCTGAGGATGCGGAAGTCGACGAGGTGCACGTGGATGGGGTGCACGCCGCCGCCGCCGTTCTCGAACTCCCAGATCTCGACAGTGCCGCGGGGCACCTTGGCGAGGACGCGGTTCTCGACGTCGCTGAAGCCGACGCCGTTGATCTTCCACTGGCCGTTTTTCTGGTGGAACAGGAACCGGCGGTCGACGCCGTCGCCCTTGGGCGGCGGGAAGGGGACGTCGCGCAGCTTGGCGGGGACGACGGAGTTGTCGGCCACGACGCCCTCCCCGACCACGAAGCGCATGACCTGGTCGGTGGGGCCGTAGTCCTTGTCCTCCCCGACACGCCTCTGGCTCAGGAGCGTGACGTTCCGCCCCGCGTGCTGGGAGAAGTCGAAGACCACCTCCCACCGCTCCGCCATGGAGATGGCGAGCGTGCTCGCGGTGACGGGGCTCTCGAGGAGACCGGAGTCGGAGGCGACGACCTGGAAGGGGACTTCGCCCTCGCCGGCCTCGCTCTGGAAGTAGAGGATGAAGGACCGGGAGATGGCGGCGTTGAGGAAGCGGAGGCGGTACTTGCGGGGCTCGACCTGGAAGAAAGGCCACGGCTGGCCGTTGACGTGGACGACGTCACCAAAGAGGCTTTCCCTCTCGTGAGCAGGGGAGGTCGGGGTGCCGTCGCGACCGTACTGCTTGGAGGTCAATATCAGGGGGATGTCGCTCACGCCGTAGCCGCTGGGCAGACCCAGCGCCTCCTCGGCGGGATCCTGGACAATGTAGGCGCCGGCCTGGCCGAAATAGGCGTTGATCGAGGTCTCGACGTATCTCTGTTAGCCCGAGGCGCCGAGTTCACCAAGGGAGGGGGCCGGATTCTTACGATTTCCATGGCGTGGTCATGGTACCACAGTTGACGGGCGCTCTCGCTATTGGGGTAATAGTAGTCTTTGTACTGTCCTGGGAAGATCCTGTCCTCGGCCCATCCATCCCAGGGCGCCCTCTAGAAGGCCGTTAGAAAAGGTTTGCTGTAATTCAGAGCAACTATTAGGTGATCCGGTACTCACAGTCGGCGACCCGTGAAGGTGCACAGCACTCGGCAAAAAGGCCTTGTTGGTAAACCTGACGACCGTCTCACGGCCCCTGGTGACCATGAAAGTCGGGCCGGGGGACATTCCGTCGTAGCCAACCAGGGAGGCTGGACCTCTGTCGGGGTAGATCTGTTGCTTGAAGGGCATGATGTCGACCTCGTAGTAGTCAATTGGCTTGTTCGTGACCGGGTTGTTGACCGACCTGGCATGCTGTCAACACTTGTCCATCGTCGGCCCGTTTGCTCGACCAGGAGTGAACCCTTACATCTTGGGCTGCTTCAACGGTGGGATGGGCATAGGAAACTGGTAGATGTATCGGTACTCAGGGCTAAGCCAGTCGCCGGCCGATGACGCCTCCAGAAGCGCCATCGCGGCCACCAGGTGAGAAGCCCGCAAGAGCATATTATCGGCAAAGGTCGAGAAGACTGGAAACAAGGAACAGGACACACACAGTTCGAAGGACGATATTTTCCTGACGGGAGCCCCTACACGTTGCTTGGAGTGACATGGCCGATCTATATACGGGTTTCGTTTGTCGCGGAATCCCATAAACTCTGCGTCTCGTATACCCACCCGGAAAGCGTCCACCCGAGTGGTCCCACATGGTCTTCCAAACCGCTGCCGCCTTGTCGTTCTCCCCAGCCCAAGCAGTTGGAAGCCGAACATGACCGGAGCCTGGGAGGTCTGGATGCGACCTGTGGGCTGTGGCTCAGATGACTCGGGGGAAGGGCGTAGGATCAGGATGGGTCCAGGGGTAAGTAAGAGTTCAAGAACCTTGGGCTTACCGTCGTCCGGTGTTGGACAAACGTTACATAAGTGGTCAGCACGTATCCCGAAAGCTAGCTGCTCCCGCAGGAACCAAGGTATGTCGGCCATGTCCGCGGTGGCCTCGGCTACATAGCTATTGGAGGGGGGCTCAGCACCGCCAAGCTCCTGACGCGGGACGGCGGTGACCTCGAGCGAGCGGTTCGGCTGGAGGACCGCCGGAGCGGTGCTGGCGATTGCAGCCAGCTTGTTCCTCCTTCTTTCCATCTCAAAAAGGGGCTAGTGGTGGAGCGAGATAGATGCCTTGGAGGACCATGTGGGATGTTCAACACTAGCAGATTCTAACGTCTCGAGAGATGACCGGGGGAGTACTGTGAAGTACAAAGCGCGGCTCTGAATTGCACGCGCGCGCGCACTTTGGCCAATCCGAAAAAGGGGCGCGGTATGACGCATTTTCTCCTTTTTAAGGTGGAGGGCTGCATGCTGTTGTAGTAACATGGACTGCCAAGTCGCGGCGCTGAGAACGTGTCATGGCCCACGGACGTTCGTATTGCTCTCCAGGGGAGAACGTGGCAGAGCGAGCCGTGCGATCGGTTGCGACTTGCGAGGGGCAAAGAATGCATTCGGGGACCTCGGCTTGAAAATGGCGAGTTTATATCGCAATTGTCACGTCGTTGTCATGGTCTCGATACGTTTTATACTGACTGATATGAAGGAGTACTTACCCGGTATTGGAGAATGATTTGACTCTTCTTCTTCTTCTTCTTCTTCTTCTTCTTCTCTGGAGCACGCGCGGAGTAGCCTCTCCGGCCGGCTAGTCCAGTTTCCCGAAAAGACCGTCCGCAGGCCCCGGACGTTCAGCCCCTTGAAACTGACAGAGACGCTACGTAGCTCCCGCGCAAGGACACAGGGCTGGCGGTTCAGCTCGTGCGGCGCAGTGCATATGGCAGCATATATTGATGCTTATACTCTCTCCACCTCGGCGGCAATCCGATGCTTGGTGGGCAGAAAGTCGGCCTTCGGCGTGTCCACGAACAACGTGCCATGATCATCAGCTGACGGAACAAGAATAGAGAAAGACAAAACCAGAAAGAAAAAGCTACTAGACCTGTCCAAACATCGGATTAAGGAAACTGTTGGGGTGACGGTACAGATTACGAATGTATTGTGACGGAGATGGATGGTGCTTATTCAGGGGCAGCCCCGCCCTGCCCCGATTGCTGTGACCCACTTAAGCTCCGTGCCGTCTCCGTTTGTGACCCACTCAGCCGGCATAATGACGATTGAGCAAAAGATGAGCACGTGGTGGTGCCATGAAGCCATATTTCGATCCGTTCTCAAAACGGGATGACAGGCTCTGCAGACAGACAGACAGACACTGACAAAATGGCAAAAGAAAGGGCTCAACCGGGGATCGAACCCGGGGCCTCTCGCAGGAGAGTTGGCGTACTTGACGTAACCCAAAGCGAGAATCATACCTCTAGACCATTGAGCCGATGGAGCCAGGTTGTTTGCAACCAGGAATGGGGATGTCAGAATGCCCACACATGTCACAATATGTACTCTACTTTCTCAAGCTCCTCAAGCACAACATTTTGTGTCCAAACTGATTGTTTGTCTGCCCGTGGTGGTGACGCTAAACTCTGGTCCGTCCGGATCTGCGCCACGACTACGGAGTATGTCATGCCAGAATGACCATGTCAGGTCGAGCGGGAGCGGACGGCTTTACTCTGGCGCTGCTAGGCATATTCCTACTGACCAACGGAGCGAGCCGTCGCTCATGTGTCCGATATACTCGACACACAGCCAATCCATGACTTTGCCGGCTACCGGTGCCACCGACGATGCAACCAGGTGCCGCCGCGCCTCGGGAAAGGCCGAGTGCCGCAAGGTGCCATTGGCCGTTATCTGTTATCCCTTCTTCTCTCTACAACTACACCCGGCAACGTGAGAACGGGCCTTGCGGGTACGCCATGGACCTTTACAGCCCGGACTAGGAAAACCGTCGGGACGTGTAACGGCGTCGGATCGCTCGTCGTCAGACCTCGCCGCCCCTCCTCAAAGAAAGAAAAAAGAGAGAGACACATGACACCACGTGTACACGCCTAGTTCCTTGGGTTCGGCTTGAGTGCTCGACGACAATGGGATCGTCATCTCCATATGATCCCCGACAAACGGGGCCCGGTCGTGGATCCCGCACGCCGAGGGCCGACATCCGCCTCTCCCTGACCACCGCCCCGTACGTACGGCTGTCGGCCGGGGACGAACAACCGCACATGGTCAAGATGAAGCGGATCGCAGAGCTTTCGCCCGCATCGCCCACATCCGCCGACGCATGCCAAGTCCTTCTCCGCTATCCACGTCCACGATCCACTCCTAGGGCACTAGAGGCATCATGTTGGTCGCCCAAGGGCCTAGCCAGCTCCGGCATCACGGGGTGGGGGAGGCATCTAGTGCCGCTCTCTCACACAGCGACATATCCATGTTACCGAGTCTGTTGGCCGCCATGACGTCCAGGCAGCAAAGGCGTTGAAGGTATTCATCTATGTACGTTTTCTCGTACGTACGCACGCTTGGGTGGGATATGGTTCAGACTGTCGATGCCGAAGCACCCGGGACGGCGAGAGCCAGACCTCGCCGACCATCCTCGACATGCATCCATGGAGCCCCCGAGTCAATCAGCCTGGGTCGCCGTTCTCGAGGCCCATAGCGAATGGGTCATGTCCCCTCCCCCGTCCTGCCGTCAAGTTAGCTCCTACTGGGGTTCCCGATCAGTCGGGTGCCGAGGCGGTTGGCGGTGCGGCTTCTCGAGGGATGTTTGCCTCCAGATAGCCGCTGGTCCATCCCATTATCAGTCCCTTGGGTCGGTTCTCTTGAACCCACCGGTTCGGTAACACCGCTTGCGGGTTTTTTCTCCTTTTTGCTTTCTTTTTTTCTTTTTTCTTTTTCGTACAAAATGCGATAACCTGCTTCCGCTTTACTATTCTATTTGCGGCAAGTCACAGCTCCGCCTATTGGGAACAAGATATTCTGTCTTTTCGAACGAGCCTTCGCCTTGGACGCTGCAACGAATCAACTGGTAGAGCTCAGTGAACATGGCGGCTGGCAAAGCTGGCGCGGTGTTGGCCAAGATACTTGGTATAGATCTCGAGGCCAGCACTCGCCATCAGACAAGAGAACTACGCGAGCATGTCGCCAACACCATCTCACCTCACGAACCCTATTACGAGGAGGACCCGACCGTCAAAGAGTGGCTGTTGGAGCATGTTCCCACAAAGGAGGGGTCAGCTCGCTATGTCAAAAGCCTGTTTCCATTCACGACGTGGATCTTCAGATACAACACTCGCTGGCTCGTCTCCGATGCTATCGCGGGTAAGTCCAAGTCCCCTTGCCCCGAACCACGGCCGGCGCTTCGCCACTAACATGGTCGAGGCGTCACTCTCGGGCTCCTGGCCATCCCGCAAGCCGTGGCCTACGCTCTTCTGGCACGCCTCAGCCCCGAATACGGTCTTTATACATCCTTCACCGGCGCAGCTCTCTACTGGATCTTTGGCACGTCAAAAGACATGGCCGTAGGCGTAAGTCCTTCCGGTCTCTCTCCGTCCTAGTTTCGCAGCATATGCCAACAATGACCCCCCCCAGGCAACAGCAGTTGTCTCCCTCCTCGTCGGAAAGGTCAGCGCCAGAGTCCTCGAAGAACACCCGGGCGAGTTCCAGCCAGAGGAGATCTCCAAGACCCTCGCCTTCCTGGCCGGCGCCGTCCTCCTCGCCTTCGGCCTGCTCCGCCTCGACTGGGTCATCGAGTTCATCCCCCACGTCGCCATCTCCGCCTTCGTCACCGCCGCCGCCATCACAATCACCCTCAGCCAGATCCCCTCGCTCCTCGGCATCGACGGCGTCAACTCAAAGGCCGCGGCGTACCGCGTCCTCATCGAAACCGCCCGGGGCCTGCCCCGGATCAAGCTCGATGCCGCCGTCGGCCTGACGGCGTTGGCGCTGTTGGCCGCGGTCAAGTGGTACTGCGAACGCATGGCGAGGACGCAGCCGAGACGCAGGCGCGCGTGGGAGATGCTGGGCTCTCTGCGCATGACCTTCACCATCGTGCTCTACACCCTCGTCAGCTTCTTGGTGAACAGGGGGCTCGAGAGCAGAGACCTCCGGTTCCGCATCACCGGCGCCCTGCCCCGGGGCCTCACCCACGCCGGCCCGCCCAGCCTGGACCCGAAGCTGATCTCGGCCCTCCTGCCGGACCTCCCCACCACCGTCATCATCATCGTGATCGAGCACATCGCCATCGGGAAGTCCTTTGGCCGCACCAACAACTACGCCGTCCAGCCGTCGCAGGAGCTCATCTCCGTCGGCTGCACCAACCTCTTCGGCCCCTTCCTCGGCGCGTACGCCTCGACCGGCTCCTTCGGCGGCACCGCCATCCTCTCCAAGGCCGGCGTGAGGACACCTCTGGCCGGCCTCTTCAACGCCGCCGTCCTGCTTCTCGCCCTCTACGCCCTGACCTCGGTGCTCTACTACATCCCAATGGCCAGCCTGGCGGCGCTCATCGTCCACGCCGTCGCCAACCTCATCACCTCGCCCGACCACGTCTTCAGATCGTGGCTCGCGTCGCCGCCCGACGTCTTCAT